AAGCTGCCAGAAGCTTCCCCATGTCTGGCAAAGCCAATTACAGAGGTCCCAGGACACACCTGCCATTGCAGCAAGGCCAAGTCAGTCAGTGGTGGTAGTAACACCTCTGTGATAACATATTTAACAAGGAAAAAAAAGTTATTGTCTGGAAGTAATTGCAGCCTGAGAAGAGTGAGAATATGTGAGAGAAACAAGTATGCAGACACCAAGGTCAGTGGATAAGGAAGGGGAGGAGGTGCTCCAGGTGCTGGAGCTGAGGATACTCTGCAACCTGTGGTGAAGACCATGGTGAAACAGCTCTGCCCCTGCAGCCCACGGAGGTTAACAGGGTGCAGAAATCCACCTGCAGCCCATGGAGGAGACACATGCCAGAGCAGGTTTTCCCAGTAGGACTTGTTTTCCTGGTAGGATTTGTGTTCCTGTGGGGAACTCGTGCTGGAGCTGTTTTTGATGGACTGGACTGCACCCTGTGGAGAGTGACCCACGCTGCAGCAGTTCGGGGAGAACTACAATCCATGGGAAGGACTCATGTTGGAGAAGTGAGTATTTTATTCCAGCCATTAACAGTAACCTTTCTGAAATAACAAGGTCCTGGATGTGCACTGCTAAATTGTGTCTTCTACTTTAACAGGCTCCAAAAGGAGCAAGAGAAAAGAGGCAGGGAGAAAATTACATGAGCCTCCTATCTGGATTTTCAGAAAAAAAGGAGAATGAGGGGATAAAGTGGCACAGATGAAATAAGTCAGAAACTGGAAAAAATGAATCACCATAACACAAGGAAACTGCAGAAAGATGAAAGAAGAAAATTGTGACGGCTTCAATTTTCTCCCCCTCCAAGACTAGTCAGAAGCATTGTACAGAAAATTTATTGCTCCATCTTGCAGCATTTGTCTTGATTAATATTTCTTATAACTACTCCTTCCACAAAATTGTAAATAAAGTGAAGCTTGATATACAACTCTCCTTCAGAAACCATTTGCACAAGATCCCTCCACCACACATACATCCTTCCAAACCAATAACTTGACCTCCTAAGATCATAGTTCCTTCTGTATTTCCACTAAAATGCAAACCAAAAAATGCAGAAGTTATTTGCATTTCAAGGACATGTACTTATACTCATACCTTAAGAATCTGATCTCCTTCCTGCAGTCCTTCCTGATCAGCTGAGGTGCCTTCTTGAATTCCAGCAATAAATATCCCTACATCATTTCCACCAGCCAGTCGTAGACCCACGCTATCCCCTTTCTTGAATCTCACCATTTTCGTATTAGGACTACAAGATTTACAGGCAGAAAAAGGGAAGTAAGGCCAGATATTAGGCATATAACAATAACAGGTTGTTAAGAGAAAAAAAATTGCAACCTCTTCAACCAAATCATATTACTAATATTCTTATCACCTGTCTTTCACTATACAGGCTATATTTACTCAGGTAACTTCAGTGAGGGAAGGAAGCAGAGAATTTCCATTTTTCAGAGTGAGAACTGAACTAGGAAGAAGGACTAAGTGTCATTCACAGACTTGACAGAGCAGAAAAACAGGTTGCTGCTCTAGAAGTCCCCAAATAGTTCCTTACCTATTCTATCCTCTCTCATATAATCAAATGGTTTTTTGTGAAAACAGACTGAGTTACAAGTACTCATACTCATTGTTTTTCCATCTATACATTAGAGAACTGTCAGATGAATTAAAATTTATACCTATTTTCTTCACATTTTAATATGTCTGCTAGAAGTCTTCAAGTTTTCTTGTGATGAGAAATATTTTCAAGCAGAATTTACTGATACGTTAACAACCAGCCCTTTCATTTTGCAGTGGGAGAGACTGTTGGACTCGGCTTAGCTTTTTTGCTATCAGAAAAGCTGTATGCCTGAATGACCTTCCAACACAGAGGACACTACTTATCTGTCAGCCACTCTCAGTAATACCCTAAGCCTGTATTATAAATTCCCCCTCACCGAAATAATCACTCGATTAATTTGCACATCAATGACAACATGTGCAGGGTCCAACCCAGAAAAGATCTGAGAAGATAATTCATTTAAGAAAATACTCAAAACTACAGATTATCTTCAAAACCTTGTCTTCAGGCTTCTCCTTGCAATCTCAGCACTCCTCTCCCTTCAACTTCTGTATTTGTACACTCTCAAAAGAAAACATGTAAGCTGATTTCCTATTAATACATTCTGAAACTTTTAGTATCTCAATTGTTAAATAATTAGCAGCACTAGGTCCCATTCGATCATTTAAAAAAAAATCATAAAAATAGCCCCACAAAAAAAAAAACTTCGAAGCAATATTTTGCTCATTTCTAAGCAGAGACTAGAATTGCAATAAGGACTGTACGGGCTTGAATTTGAAGAGCAGACATGCATTTCTGTGCAGAAGTTTCCAGCTTGTGCAGAAAAACATGCCTTGTCTTGCATCTTGTTTAAAAATTAGACAACATTCTCTTTGTATCTTAAGATTGTGAGGAAGGGGAGGGTTGTCTTTTTCCTACATATATGATAATGGAAGAGGTGTTAAATACATTTCCATAGAATTGCACAGGCTATAATGGTGCCCTGCTCAAAGGAGGCTGCTCAGAGCCTCGATGAGTTGTGGTTTTCAGTATCTCTGGTGGTAGAGATACACAACTTACAAAGGAAAGGGTTAACCACCCTCATATTAAGAAGTTTTCTTATTCATGTCAAGTGAGAATTTCCTGTGTTCCAACTTTTGTCCCTTGTTCTTGCCCTACTACTGTACCCTTTGGAGAAGAGTCTGGCTCTGTTACACCCACTATGCACTGCAGACAGCAACAAAGATGTCCCTTCAGTGCTCTCCTCTCCAGGCTTAACAAACTGGTTTATTTTTGGTCTTATCTCCTATGTATTATGCTGTAGCCAGCAATGCCCTAGACTTCAACCAATGTTGAAATGTCTTTCTTGTCCTAGGTACACCCAAAATGGATTTAGCATGCCAAACACTATTTCAAAGTGCCAAATAGAGTGGAATAAAACTATTGTGTACGTTCCCATGCAAGCCCAGAAGCACAGAGTGTTCTATACCTTCCAGGTAGAAGACAAGTCTATACCTTCCAGGCAGATATTTCTAAAGCTAAGTTGGACTCAAATATCATCAGTTAGAAGCCATGTCATCTCTTCTTGGCATTAAGCTATACAGGGAGTATCACTCCAAATGGGAAAAAAAACCCCAAACCCATGCAACCAAGAATCGGGAACAGGTCACTGGAAGAATACTGAGTGCAAAAGAACTCAGCAAGTGCCACCTTACCCATATATTGCTTCATCTTCCGGGCTGGGCTTAAGAATTGTTTGTGTAACTGCTTTTGGTTGAGACACTAAATGTAACAAAAAAAGGACAAAAGAAGTTACTGAGATACTGAAAAAGTTATAAATGGCAGCAAGTTTTAGCTATCCAATAGCAACCAAACCCCTCCATGCTGAAGATTAATACAAATTTAAACATCAAGCATGTCTGACTAGAATACATTTATTTCCCTTCTTTTTTTTAATTCTCAGAAAAGAACAAAGAGTGCAAGGGAGGGATACATGACTTTCAGGCAAGCTAGACTGGACTTCACTTAGCCGCTTAGGGCAACAGGCTAACAGCAGATGCTCTAGGAGAGCACTTGCTTTTTGAGGTGGCAATTTTAACAAGCAACTGCCTTCAGATAATCTCGGGTGTTTCTTCTCTCTCTGCACCACAAAGCAAAGACTGACATCTCTGTGTGTCAAGATGGGGCTGATATGAAGAGCATACCCATCAACATGACTGAGGGAGTAGACATTCTGTGGCCAGGGTTAAAAAAACCCCAAAGCAGCCAAAACCTCCAGACTCTGACCTGCTGGGTCATCTTGGTACTTGGGTTCTTTGTTTGTGTCTACAACTGTAACAGCAGGAGTAACAATGCCACCAGTTGATTTGAATGGTGTAGGTGTTGCTCCCATCCTGGACATCCTACTGGATGGATCATCTTTTGTACTAAAAGTAAGAAAGAGAAAAATAAATACAGTGAAATCAGATAAGAATGCCATGTATTTTAAGAGCTTATGGGACAAGCACTAGAAAAATGAACTAGACAAGACCATTTCTTACTTTGGTTTCTCTTTCAGCTTTTCGTTGGATGAATGTGAATCTAGATCAGAATGATGTAATCTGTCATCTTGAGGGGAGAATGATCTGTTTGACTCTATTTCAGAAATGTCTGTAAAGAGAGTAGCAAATCAATAAGTGCGGGATTTGTTTAAATTATCTGATCACCACATTTATTTATAAAGTTTGCACATACACTGAACCTTTCAGCCTACTCCTGTTTCAAGTTGGACTTGAAGAGGATTCAAAAAGAGCTGCATACCTTTTAGTTCTTCCACCCCTCCACCCCTCCAAAAAATATTTCATGAAGGTTTCACATAACCTTTTGGAAAGACACTCACATAACACAACTACTTTAAGCATACCACAGTCTTGTTAGCTAGTGTTTGCAGACTTTTAGCTGAGGTCTCATGGGGTTTCCAAAACAGAAGACCACCTACACATTAATAGTCCTCACATCATTGCCTTTCAATGACAAAAGAAGCAGAGTGGCTCTGGGACTTGAACAGTATCTCAGACTTCACAGTAAAACACGTAATGTAACATCCTTCTCCCCCAAACTTTCTGAGCCCTTCCCAAAGCATGATTATGTTGAGAGATATAGCCTGTACCCTGTAAGACATCATTTGCATAGAATGGGAATAGAAACCAATTGTCCAGAGGGGCTAAATTTCCTCTTGTCCTGACATTCTTTTCCTTCCATTTGAATGCCGTCATTAATGTTAATGCCCTCAGAAGGAGAGAGCAGTCCAATACACTTGTTTTGAAAGCAAATGACTTGCACGTTCCAAGAAGTAAGACTGATTTTGTCAGACCAACATTGCTTCTTCTACCTCTGCCCCTCCCCAAAATGTAATTTTACAATTACTACAAAATTATTTTCACCTGAAGGAAATGGGCTTGATGCTTAATTGACTATTACTTAGGTTTGTTCATGTTTTGCGGTTTTTCTTTTTTAAAATACCTAGTGCCACTCTACCACAACAAAACACTGTAAAGCTCCATTTTGTCCCTGGACACAGTCCAGAACTTTTTATCCATATTAAACCTCACCATCCATTTCTGAGTCGCTGTCGTTCAATGAAGGAATGTTGAGCAGTGTCTGCTTTCGGTCCCTGAGAACAACCAGCTGGAGTTTCCCCCGCGATTTCTCGATCAATTTTCGGGCATCAGCTAAAGACATGTTCTCTGTCACTGTACCATTGATCTGGACACAAAAAGGCAACAATTACACTACATGTAAACAAACAAGTCTGTATTGTGCTCAAGTTTAATAGTGAATTTGTCTATAACATGACTGAATTCAAAATTACCACTATAGCCAGTGCCTGCCAAACTGCTGGCAGTAAAACCAGAACAGACCTTGAGAATGATATCTCCTTCATGAAGGTTGCCATCTTTGGTTGCTAGGCCAGTACGGGTCATTTCTTTTATGAAGATCTGACTTCCAAGACGGAGTCCATATTCTGGAATCAACAAAATAATCCACTGTAGCTTAGAAGACGAGTGAGGATGCATTTCAAAAAAATCTACAGAGTACATGCAGCAAATCCCATTACAGCATAAGGGGAAAATAAAAAATAATCAAAAACCACAAGGAAAAAAAAGAAAGAAAAAACAAGAAAAAATGCAGACCGAGTAAACCCACTTAACCTAAGGTTAATTCTTCTCTGTCTGCGCTGTTACCACAACATGAACAATCAACAGTCCAAAACCAATCACGGACACACGATTAGTCTGCACCTTCAACAGCAAAACTATGCCTTTGTTCTGGAGGTGCTTATTAACATGCAGCACTAGATTCTCTCTGATTTGTGTTTTGCATGGCATAGAGGGGGGAAAAGGGACAAAAAGCGCTAACAGAAGAGGAGGCCTTTTTCACCAGTTCCTACATGCTGACCCTGTCCTATCTTTACCCCAGAAAATGTCTTGTTTCAGGCAAAGGAATTTGCTTTCCTCCCCTGCCCTCTTTTTCCCCTTTGATCCAAGTCACTTGGATCAGTGTATTTGCTACTTAAAAAGAAAGGCAAAACTCCTAAAAAACACAGGCATCCTAGGACAACAGGATGCTGTTCTGCTTTAAAAAGATCATATTTGAATAACTCTGCAAAGTATCCATATGAATGGCAAGAATTATTATGGAATTACTAGCTAAATATAAAAGGTAACAAAGGCACATTAAACTTATTCCTATTTGTATACCTATCTGCAGTATCTTTACAAGTGGAAACTTTATATGCAGGGCAAAAAAGGAAGGAGGGAAAAGGATCCTTGGCAGAGTCAATGAAAAAAATGCGGTTAGCTCCTGCATACAAAGTCTACATTAGCAGAAAATCCTTACAAATCACAACAGGACAGATTTAAAAAAACACCCAACCACCCCCAAAACTCCCAGAAACAAACCACCACACTCCCCAAAACCACTCTAAACAGAAAAGAATGCACAACTTAATCTCAGATACACTCTACAGCACAAATCTTTATTTCACAGCACATGAAAGATCAGACTTTTGGCTTTCATTTACACACTCCAATACTCAGCAAGGAAAGGCTGTTTCAGCTGTTGCTATTTCAGTATTCTTTAATGACATTCTGAAGTATTCAGAACCAAACAATCCTTATTATTAAAGGCACAGTCTACTCTTCACCCTTTGTAGCTAACCCTTTTGTAGATGTGCCAAGTGTAATCTGAATCATGATCAGATCCATGTTTTCTGCCAGAACCAGAAGAATAGGGCAGGGAAAATGGAAAACCAAAGGACACAGTGGCGTGAAAAGACTGAAATGATGTGGGTGAACGGTTCTTTGTTCAAAGGTAAAGTTCAAGGTGATGGGGAAAAAGTACCCCAAAACAGCTCGGAAGAATAAAAGAACAATTTAAGCCATCAGTTAGAAAACTCAGCATTTAACCTATAAGAGCAGAAAGAAATTCCGCTCTTCTCCCTCCCCCACCAGAAAACATGCTCTATTAGAAGTCGAGTCCCCTTCTCCCCTACTATACCTACCTTCATTATGTCTGCCTTTTGTTAGGAGAACACTGATCGGTGCATTGTGGTCCTGCGGTCCTAAGTACTCATGCTGATGGTGCATTTCAGGCGAAGGAGTTCGGGAATGAAGCCTGTCCCGACTGCGACTCCTCACTTCCCTCCCATATCTAGGATCAGGTTGAAAACCATGACTATAACTGGGTGGGCTGTAGTCTCCTCTGTAGTCCCGTTCATAGCCACCATCCCTGTCGATGCTCCTTCCCCTGCTCCGATCTCTTCTATAGTCTCGATCCAAGCTCCTGTCAACGCTTCTACCACGACTTCGATCACGGCCATAGCTGCATTCCCTGTCGTGGTCTCTGCTTTGGTTACGCCCTCTGTCCTGCTCATCTCTGTAGCTCTGATCCAGGCTGTTTCCCCAGCTTTGGCTGCGCCCTCCATTACCACTGTGCCAGCTTCTCTCGCTATAGCCACTTCGAGCACTTTTGCCATCAAATTCTGCATGGTCATCCATTACATCTAAAGCTCTGTCCTCATAGTCAAGGGAGGGGCTCCTCTTCAACGCAGCAGCCTGCACTTTTCTTGGTCTTTTCACTACCTGTTCAGTGCAATACAAAACAAACAAAATCCCCTCAAACATCAGAATATGAAATTCAACAGCTGAATATTCTTCATGCTTCAAATATAGGTTGGGGGGAAAAAGAAAGAAAAAAAAGAACAATGTTCTATTTATTCTTGGACAAACCTGTGTATGCAGGACAACATTTTCCTCATGTAACTTTGAGCCAATTTCCACTCATTATTCAGTAAAATAAAGATCGAGGACATACATTTTATTCCCAGTTTTTCAACAAGGTAACTTTGTGACACTGTTGATTAACTTCCATTTGTTTCACCTGTACAAACTATGCCTTTGTTTTGTTTACTCTGTACATTCTATTGGGCAGAGGATTGCTTTGCTTTATGCCTTTGTAGTACATTTTGTAGAAGAAAAACAAAACTTTGACTGGTTATGCAGGTACATACTACTGTAGAGTGAACACATCTGTAATTTACTTACAATGGTGGCCACTTTTCCACTTTTCCTAAGCTGTTGAACTGCAAAAGAATGTAGAACATTTTCCATTGGGGTTCCATTGACTATGACCACTCGATCATTTTCTCTGGAAGAGGGGGAACGCGGGAAAAAAATAAGGAAAAAGACGATTTAAGGAGTATTCATGAAAACACCAGAACAAAATTTCTTTTTCAGAGGGAACCTATGAATTTCATTCACTTTAACAGGAAGTTTTGCTTAAAACACTACAATATCTGAATACTAGAAGCAGCTTTTGGTATATTTAAAAATTAGACTTTGAGCAACAGTGTGTATCTGTGTACACTGAAATGTCCAGCTCAACTACCTTGCCATAATGTTTTTGAAGAACATTTGTGATGACTTTTAAAGCTCTTTCTGAAAAATTTTATTTCGAAACTCTTAGTTTTTCACATCTAGTGCTAGACTTCTTTTTCACGCCAACATAAGAACTTCACAAGTGCTTCAAACTGCTGCAGCCATACCAGTATTCAGACAAATACTGCCCAGTACAACTGTAGTACACTTTCCTGAAGGACTGGTGTTCAGGCCCCATCTACTCTGAAGAAAGATGATTGGTGATGAAAAGAACCCAACAAAACCATAATACACAAGAAGGACTTCCTGCCCTAAAATGCAGTCCAACTTGTCTATTCAGACCTCCTGCATGTCAAATAGACCATTAAGACTTAACAGTCACCTCTATGAGACAGTTCTGTAACACTGAATAATTAAACTCCACAAATTTCATACATGCATTTCAGTGCAAAAAGGTTTAGATTAAAAAAACCCAACCTGCCACTCCTCATATTAGTTTATTCTGGTGACTACTCAGTTACTAACATAACAGTCAGAGCATTAGCTTGACTAATTACTGGTTACTCTGCCATTTTCTGCTAGATAAAAGAAATCTTTGGTACCAATTATTTTCTCTTCATTATAATCAAATTGCATCACAATCTTCTTTCTAAATAAGAGGATTATATACTCTAAGCCTCTATTTGTAAGGCACTCTCTCTCCAACTCCTGAATGATTTTTGTGCCTCTTTTCACACCCTTCCAATTCCTTTACTGAATAAGTATGCCAGAACAGTATGCTATACTCCAGTATCAGTTTCATCCAGGCTTGATGTGAGAATTAAACTCACAGAATATTCAGAGTTGGACGGGAGTGTTGAGGACCATCTAGTCCAACTCCTGGCCCTGCACAGCACAGCCCCAAGAATCACACCAGGTGCCTGAGTGTGTTGTCCAAACACCTCTTGAACTCTTGTCAGGCTTGGGGCTGTGACTACTGCCCTGCACAGCTGTTCTAGTGCCCAAACAACCTCTGGAGGAAAAACCATTTTCTAATATCCAGCCTAAACCTCCCCTGACACAGCTTCAGACCATTCCCAGTCACTGGCTGCCAGAGAGGGCAGTGCTGCTCCTCCACTTCCTTCTGTGAGAAAGTTGTATACAGAGATGAGAACTCCCCTCAATCCCCTCTGACTGAACAGACCAAGTGACCTTGCCCACTCCTCATACGGCTTCCCCTCTAGGACCTTCATCATCTTCACTGCCCTCCTCTGGACACTCTCTAGTAAATTCATATCTTTCTTATATTGTGGTGCCCAAAACTGCACACAATAGCTCTCAAAATAGCTCTCTTCATAGTCCATACATCCAAAGACAGTATTGAACTCAATGTTGTAAAATTACATCAAGAGGTTCCATCTATTTATGCTCATTTTACCTTAAAAACGATGACAGGATTGCAACTCCCAAACACTCTAAATATTTGGCCTAGACTCCTTGATTTGTTGGAGGAATGGCTTTGCATTGTTTTCTTCAGAATGTGCTTTGTGAGAATGTGACCAAATTACTCTTGGTATTCCCTTGTCATCATTAATTTACCTATGATCTTACATAATTACACAGCTGATGATGGAACAGGATGGATGACAGTGGTGTTGTGCAGGAATCACTGCTATAAAATGTAGATTTTGTACATTCTTGTTAAGAATGGTTTGTTACTTGTTTCACAATAATACTTTTATCCAGCTCTTCAATAACTACTCCCATGTCAGCCATTTCATTAACTGCCCAAAAATTAATGTCTAGCAAAATGGACAGAATCTACTCTTTTGAATTACTATTACTGCACAACTCTGATGTTCTTCCAAGTAGTCTAGTCCTCATCAGGCATTTCAGGTCAAAGGATGAAAAACCGATCAGGTGGGCTACAAATTGCTTATCTCAACCTACAGATTTAAAAGTGCTTGTCCATGATAGATGCTGCCTCACCAAGGATGAAGTTATCAGGACTATAGAAACATTTTATTTCCTTTTTGTTTTTCTTGCAAATAAATATTTAGCAAACATTTTTGTTTCTCTTCTTTCGCAGATTATTACTCCTGACACCTTAGAAGTGAAGATCCTTCTCTGGGCTGACTTGAGCCATTCTAGAAAACTAATGACTGATCACTAAATGTGTTCACTGGAGGAAGAACAAGGAGGATGTTTTTTAGATAGTAAGTATTTCTACTCTTTCTTTAAAAGAAATGCAATCTTAAGAGAAACATACTTAATGGCTAAAGCTTTTACAACAGCACTGAAATTTAATTTCTTACAAAATAGCAAATAAAAACACAGGCTGGGTTTTTTTTTTAAACAGACATCTAAGTGTTACAGAGGGCACCAAATCTTGAGTCGATTCAATCACCAAGATTTCAACCAAGCCTGCCTAGAAGGTTTTTGTATTCTACAGCCATATCTCTCAAAATATGCCAGAGAAAGAAATAAGAAAGTGCTTACTGAAGTAATCCATCTGCTGGACCACCCGAAAGAACATCCGAAATGACTATCGATGTTTCACCATTTTCAAAATGAGGGTTATCTCTGCCACCAGAAACTGCAATCCCAAATCCTCGTTTCGAATCCTGTACAACAAAACCAAATACAACAAAACTCAAATCCATTGATAGGAATTTTGACAGGAAGAAAGAAGAGTAGCCTGAATATTCCTGTGATGGCATGCTAAATAGATATTTTTTACAATGTGATAAATGCATGCAGAGCTGTAGAAATACACTGCTAGATTTAAAAAAGAATGGGCTGACAAATCCATGTAACCAGGCAACAAGTTCCTGTACTCCAAAACCTCAGTCCATAGCCTTACGATGGTTAGTAATTAAGCAAAGGACTCACTAACTTAGCATCCATTTTACTCCACCATCCCACTGGTTATTCATACCAAATTTAGGTAAATCTGTTTTGTTAGTGATGCTTGGGAAAGTGGAATAGCTTTTCCAGGATGTCACCTTCATTATTCATTAGCTTCATTAGCTAACTAGTTTGTAATAGCTACTTACCCCTCAATCAAACTAAACAAGATCACGGCTGATTACAAAAAGGAAGCAGTGAACTTGTGCATTCTCTATCCTCTGTCACAATCAATCATTTTAAATCTGTACATTAAGTCAAACCTGTCACCATAAAAATAACAGATACATACAAGCCCTGGGATGGTGTTCATAAAACCAAAGAAATACTTCATAGGACGTGAAGAAAGCATGTTGATAGCACTAGACTGGAGAACTGCTGGTGTAGCTGAACTGCACACAACAGGGTGTGCACAAAAGCACACACATTTAATTTTATCAGATATGTAACATACACATCCTGTCACTATAAATTACAAAATATATTACATCTAGACAAAATGTTTTAACACAGTGGCAGACTAATACACCAAACTTAATGTCGTGCTTTTCCCGCAGCTCACACTCTGCATGTGTGGTTCATCTCATGTCAGCTCAGGTTTCACAAATGTTGATATTAAGCAGTTATTTCTTCAAGGAGGAAAAAAGCAATGTGGTTTTTTTTATTTTTAAACAGCACGTTTATTGCTGCACCTAGTTTTACAGGAAGCAGCTTGATGCTTCAAGCCAAAACAATTGTAAAATTAATTGGTAGTGGCTGATGCAGCAAGGCCAATTCCCCGCAGTCATCTCAGTACCATAAGTCTCTCTCTGTGGTAAAGAAGTAATGCTCATTTACATTATATTCAAGATCTGAAAAGCTGGAAAGTACAGGAACTAAGACCTACTTCTGCAATGTTTCTCCCGTCTACCTCTATAACCTGAAAAACAACCCTCTCTCAGCAATACAGCACATAAAACAGGCTGTGTAAAAAAGATCTCTACTTTACCTTAGGCCATCAGGTTCAGTTCATTGCAGAACATGTAAAAAAACATAAACAGCTCAGTTCAGCTGCTCACTGAACCCAAACCACCAGAACAGCTGGGAAAACCACCACCATCACCACCACAGCCCAAGCACACAGCTGGTACCATGTGTGGCAGCCTAACCATTAGAGAACCCAGAGACAAGTGGTGTACTCTCTTTAACTGAAAGGGACTTGAAGTGATGAGAAACTCCCTTTTCTTGAAAGAATTGTTGAAAGTGACACTTGTAGTCCCGCTGCCTCAGAAATTTTGATGACTGTTTTTTCAGTAAATTCTGCACCGGGAGATATTAAAGTAAATATATAAAAATAAATATAAACAAATAAAATCAGTGGGATCCTGTTCAGGAGATATTACAGAGCTTGGACATCAACTACAAACTGCTTGACAGAACCATCTGCTGTGTTTTCAAGGCTATTCAATGATGAATTTAGCTCTGTGACTGACATGTGGTATATTATGCTGTCATTAGAAAGACCAAACAGTAACAAATATAGTGCTCAAATTGTTAAGCAAATTTACTCTTAGCATTAAAGAGCCATGCTATTGCATGAGTAATGAGCAATTAAGCTTTAAAATACATAAAACTTATCTGATTTGGAAAATGAATTAATCCTATTCAGGCTCGGATATGCTAATAATATCTATCGTAAAATATATTTAGAGTAAACCAGCACTCGAATATTTGAAAACTAAAAATATAACAGGCACTCACTCACCTTTTGTAAGGTCACAGTGTACTGTTCCCATATCAGCTCTTCCATGCCTGGGGCCTGTTGCACACAGAAACCAATTAGTAAAACACAGAGCAGGCAACTATCTAAATCAAAATGCAAAATACCACACTAAAACACAGATCTAAAAGTAATATGCATATTCTAATACTTCTGTAGGGTTAGTATGAAATCTATTTAATTAGTCTTTTAAAAGGCAAAAAATATTAATAGATCCAGGGTGGTAGACTCCGTTCATGTTTCACTGATCAAAACAGCTCATTCTGATTTTCTGCACAAGCCTTATTCAGCAAAAGCATTTAAAGCAGATCGACTAGCAGTCTATAGCCCTGATCCAAATAACACACAGAATACTTAAGGAAGATCTCTCCATTCCAGTATGCAGTAAGATTAGCAGTTGAAACTGAGGTTTTCAAAATGAACTAGCCTTCAGATTTGCTCTTTATTCATGTGGATTTAACAAAACATTTCGTCCACTAAAAATTACATAACTAAGTGTCTAGGTTCCCATTCAGAAATTAAATTTTCACAGGAAAATACTGTATCACTATACAGTACAGGTATATCCATTTCTGTGACACCTCTCAGAAACATTATTTTTTCCATATTTCCAGTTAAAACTGATCGCGAACCAATCAGTTTCTCTCACATGATATAACCTGAAATCTTTCCAACACCACAGCTTAAAATATAATACAGAATAATCACCCAGTTGTGATGCATCATATAGTACACAGCCAGCCCCTTCAGTGCCTGCCCTGAAAAACCAGGAGAAAAACGAGCCACAATATTTGACACACTGCAAACATTTCAAAATGCAAAGCATCCATTGCAGAACAAAAATCCAGAATGTGCATGCTCATATTCAGGCCTCGTATTTTTACAAAAACTCATGTTTTCACAGCTGAAAGTGGTCTTGCTTCTCGCAAAGGTCAGAAAATTGAAGTTCAGAGAGAAGCTTAGACTTTAGGTATTGTAGGGATTACGGACAATTAAACTCCAGAGCAACAGACAAAGAAATGACACAAGAAGGGTATGCCTGTCCTTTAAACCATCCCCTGTGTTTCCAGGGATTGTCTTCTGGCAGTACACAACTGTTTAGCAAGCTATGGATGTTGTTTCTCATATGCAATAAACCCCTTGATTTACTGTTCCAGTTGATTCTGAGTATCCCAAATTGGAACTAGGTTTACATTTTCCATTGCACATTCACTGCACTGAAAAGCAAACTTAAAAATAACTCATGCTCAGAGATCCTGGGGGAATAAGCATAACATTCAGCATTTTTACCAGGAATTTTACAACACTGAACAGTGTTAAATTTCCACTCTTACGCCAGACAATGAACAATGCTTCCCAGTTTCCAGAACCTCTGGGGTCTAATTTTTTAAAAAGTAATTAAAAATAGCTGGAGGACAGGATGGCTTTTATTAAAAATAATACAAGCAATTATTTCTAACTTTTGACTTCTCTAGATCAGACAAGAATATGTTCATAACTGCTAGTATTAAAACATGTGTGTCTTGGGGTCAATTTAAAATGTGCTGAATGACATCGTGAAATTATTTCCTCTGATACTCCCATTTAACCAGCTGACATGTTTAACCCTTCAAGTATCTGAACTGAATTATCTCACTACAATACATATATTCCCTTACACAGGGAATCTTTTCCATAAGTAAAATATTCCTCCTTAACCAAGCACTTTTTCTGAGCTGCTGTAAATGGAAGTGACTAGACTTGCTTGTCTGACATACACGATATTTTTAAGTGCTGTAAAAAACCAGTCTGTGGTAAAGAAGGGCCTCAGTGTCACTTAAATTCCAGCTGACTTCACTGAATAACATTTTAGAAATGAAAGCCAGTATCAAACAATGGGTAAAATTTGAAGGACAAGCAGGTGGGTTCAAATTTTGCAGAAACAGTGGAGACGGAAAATCTTTCCCATCATTCACACCATAAAAAAGCCTCAACAACTTACAAGTGTAAAAAGAACATCACCTAAATTCAGTTTGCACTGTGTGCAATTCTTACCAACATTGCCTCCCGGCCAAGAATACTCAGGCCAGCTCTGAGCCGGCACAAGAACAAAGCAGGCAGGATGCAATTGATGAGAGCTTACTACCCACTGGGACAAAGAGCAGCACAGTTACCTTACTCTTCCAGAGGCTGTAACACCACGACTTTCAATACACTATCTACTAAAGAAAGGCCTGAGAAATGACTACTTATTCAGTACAACACCGCAGAAAAAAAGACTGAGGAAAGCACAGTAAAGATATCAGGAATGATATGAATGAGTAAAATCTTGTGCACAACTCGAGAGACACATTGTGTAGTAGATCAAAGCATTGTAAACTAACAGGGTTGAGTTTACTTTGCTCTGACAAGTAAGTGTCATGGTATCTGTTAAAAATAAAAAAGTAGTAAGAATGAAAGAGAAACTACTTGCTCCAGGCACCATAATTAAAGTCTTATAAGATGTTGAGCCCTATAGTACCTTCTCATCTGTGGCTAGAAAAAGTTCCTCATAGTATTCGTGACCATCTCAAGTACATTCTGTGTAAATTTTGGGGGTTATTTTTAGCCTGAAACTGTTTCTGAAAATTAAGCAAAAGGTAATTAAACAATTCACTTTTAAGTTCTTAAGTATTTCATTCTTAGAGACTGCTCTTTGGGAAACTGTCTCACATTTGCTGTACACTATATTAGCAAAGGAAAGTACACTATGTACTTGCAAAGCTGATTTTCTACTACATAATTACCAAGACAACACGACTAGTTCTGCCATACTGATACAGCTATGTAGGCTCTGCAACACAGTTCAGAGGACTGAATGGTCACCTTGGAAACCCATAAGGCAAAAACACATCTGTACTCCTCAAATCTCTTAACTATAATCCCTTTAACAGTATAAAATGTACTGCTGCTTGCCATTGTCACAATGCTAACCCATACTGGCAGATTAATGGAGAAGAGAAGATTGAGAGGGAGGGAGAGACTACAAATGTTATAAATCATCAGTTGAGGACTTGATCAAAACTAATATCTAAGTCTACACCCCAATTGCAAAATTCCTTTACTCCATGTTTAATAATGTGACTCTCCTCTGAATGCATCAAGTGACGAGTTACGAAAAGCCTTCATCACCTTGCCAATTTCTTCATACTTCATCTGTAAGGAAAAACAAAGGGATCCTGAGCAGCTTGTGCATCCCTTACAGGATCGCAGTTTCACTGCAAGATTACACACCAAAACACTGGAGAGAGAAAGGCAGGCAAAATGGTTAAGAACCCCACCTCCAGTTACTAATAGTAACTGCTTTACAAGTCTACACGGGTTTCAAACAGAGAACAGCCTACTTGCAGTAAATGCAAATTACTGTAATTAGCTAATCTGAATTCATTAGTGAGTAAAGTCAGACCATTTCTAATTAGAACACTGTAGTCGGGATTTGCTTAAATCTGCCTAATGCTCATACACTAAAATGACAGGTGCTTTCTACATACCCAAAATAGACTGCTTAACAGAATCTTTGGCAGGAAACTAGTCAAAGTGCTAAAATCGCCTGTGTGCTACAAACAGGCAGCTGTTGCAGCGCTCACTGACAGTCATCAGAGATTTATGCAATTACTTGCTACTGAGAGATCACCCAAGACCTCGTTCACAAAGAACAAAACCGGCAGACCTGCCACAACAGTCATCTGGTTATAAAAGTGAGTGGAGAGGGGAGGGATGTACGAGGGGAGGATGGGAAGAAAAGACTTGGAGCAAGATGCAACAAAAAGCAACTCACGTGCCCTTTCAAAATCCCCAACTTTTTGACTGCATGTGACCACATTCTCTGCAGAGCTTGAGCTGTCTTCATTGTTGCAGGATATAATCTGTGAGGGAACGCCGTACATCCCCGTCTTTTCATCTGTTTCCACCACTCAACACGGTTATGTAATTCTAATACAATAGTGGCCTACATACTCGAACAAATCCTGCCGTCAGTTTCACACAGAAACACATCAAAACCACAGCAGGGAAATCTACTGTGAGTTTGGCTAACTCTCACTTTAAGAGATCCCAGGAAAATTCAGGGCTGTAATCTTATGTTTGCTTGTTTGTTTTTAAATTAAGTGTCAGAAACAGATCACTATGCAGCAATTTATTCTTCTTCCAAGCACACACAGGTTCACCCTACCAGGAAACTAATTTAAACTTTAAAAACAAAAAAGGCTTCATAAGCACAGGCAGATTATTTGAAAATTCATGTATTGACTGTAATATTTTACAGTTTGTCCAGAACTGTAGGCTTGGCTCCAGCAAGCAAAGAGAGATTGAGAAAAAACATTTTAACAGCTGCAAATAATAGACACTCTGTTTGCCCTCAAACATTTAGCAAGATATTTGTAAGAATGATAAGCTAATCATACAGCCAAACAGATAGGTTACTTTGTTGGAAAATAGGTCAAGGATCACTCCCATCTATGCTGCATGAATGCTGTGAAATTTAAGCGAAATTCTGCCCTAGACTTCACGTAAGTTTCACAGGCAGTGAACAGATAGGAACATACATCAAGCTCTGCACATAATGCTAACCAAAACCTCCATCTGTAGATCGCATTTTTCACTCATACAACAATTTCAGCTGCTGTAGAGTATGAATTCAGACAGCAGTGCAAAATGTGAAGGGTTGTGATGGGGTTTTCTGAGGGGACAGTGGGGCACATATGTTTAAGTTTTCCCATTTAAAATAAAGACTGAATTCAGCATTGGACTGTGACCCCAACTCTGCATTAGACAGCAGATCCAGGATGAACAGAGGTTTGCACCTTCAGCACTGAGCTGGCAAGAGTGAACACCAAGGGGAGCCAGGAGAAGCACACACTGACACCACCCTCTGCCTGGAGCTTCTCACTTCCACAGCACACGGGTGGATGCAAGTAGTTTAAGACTGTTACTAGAGTTTGGTCAAAATAGTTTAGAATCTCCATTAACATTTCTAAAGAACAAACACATTCCTCTTAACAAAGTCATATTCACACCTTCCAAAACTGTGTGGTTTATTTATTTATTTTTACAAAAGGGGCAGGAACAAGAAACAACTGTAAGGATGTCTTCCAGACTCCTCTAGCCCTGCCTTCTTAGCTTTCCCACTTTCCTCCTCCTTGCCCTGACAAAACTTCAACAGCACTCCAAATAGAGAAATATCACCAAAAACATGACTGTGATGACATGGAGAAGAAAAATGGCAAAACATTGTTCATGATCTGTAGTTGTTATAACAGCAAGGACTTTTCTTTCTTGGCTTTGGACTGTCTTTTTCTCTAAAGGAACATGAGAAAGACAGATGGATTGACTCCACCAAAATTTAAACATAAGTCTTTCTGAAGAAAATTGAGAACTTCAAGTTTAACTGAAAGTCACCCAACTGTAAAGATGGAGGGCAAGGACTCTTGGAGCCACTGATATGAGCAGCCAGGTGGAGGGACTCCAAAGATGCATCAAGACTTCAACAACATTTCTGGTCTCAAAGACTAGACACACCATCAGAGGATTCAGAAACTGCCCTGACACGTCACCTGCCTGCATAAAAGCAATTCGGAAAGACAAAATTGGATGGCCCTAGATTTACAGGCATTTAAAGATGCTGATTCTCTTCAACTTCTAGATGATCTCAAAGAAATCCCCTCTACAGACAGTGAAGGCTGAGTGAAATGCAAAGCAATCTGTACATCAGTATGTGCTGTAGAGGTGCACACCTCCTATTTATCAGCTGTAGGCTGTAGCCTACTAGATTATTAAAGATGCGTACAAAATTACAATCATGGAACACAAGCTGCATATCCAGAGGCTGCCAAGTATTCTTAACATAGTGAAAAGTGACTGAAGAGGAACAAGACCTTTACCAGGCCTTCCCCCTGCAGTGAGGATGCCACTTGGAAGAAGGCTCCAACTGAAAGTATCTGCATATGGTATGCCAGATCTTTGATTAGGATCCAGGAGAACGAGAGGAAACTCATGGATCTTCGACAATACAGCTAACATCTCACACTAAAGGAAGTACCTCATTTTCTACCAATACATGCTCTAATTAAGAGAAGCATTTCCTACTTTTTGTACCCATTCCAACACCACAACATGACAACTCCCAGAAGAACAAGAGATCCTCCTGAAGAAAAAAGTTCTCAGAATGAAGCAATAAAAAACGATTTGCAAAAGGTGTCCACTAGAAGCAATATACAGTTGCTCTTCCACACAGCAGCAACTCCTTTTTTTTCCTTCCAGGGTCGTGAAGAAGAAACATAAGGGGACAGAGCTTCATGTTAAGAGATCATCAGTTCTACTTTCACATTCCACTAAAATCAAAATGGTTACTAATGTTGAGATGGGTTATATTATCAGGATGTAGGAAGTTGGGAAAAAAGTCACATGCTGTACAAGGAAGTATATCTCTGCACTGGAACGACAACATTTGAAGGAGAAGAAAAAAAAATCACGTAGAAATGAGCTGCACAGACAACCTTCCCTCTAATGGAGAATTATCAGTTACATATATAGACTTTGTTTTCATCCAAATTACTTAATGAGAATATTAGCAAAATAGCTTTGCTCTATTATCAAGGTAATAAGCACAATCATCAACAACCTGACCTAGTGGAAGGTGCCCCTTCCCATGGCAGGAGGGTTGGAATTAGGTGATCTTTCAGGTCCCTTCCAACCCAAACCATTCTGTGATTCGGTATATTCTCAGGTTTTGGGTGAGAAACATTTTTTTCAAAATGCATATAGAAGCATAATCTGAAGGGCTGCCTATAAAGACCTAAAGAAAATATAAATTGAGCATAAGATTGTTCTTCATAGACTTGGTAATTTGAATGTCATTACACAGAAACACAAACCATTTTTCATGGAAAAGAAGTGATGATGTTAAAAACTTTTAAAAATCATATTTCACTTGAAAATTACATTATTCACTTGTTCTGATTTGTAAATTTTATCTAAAAACAGCACTGGCAAATCTGCATAAAGTACAACAAGTCTATTCCAGGCACTCACAGACCAATCTTTACTTCTCAGTTTCACGAAAACTTTTAAAACCATCAAATGAGAACTGTTTACTAAACAATAATGAAGGGGCTTTTTGTTTTACTTCTTTCAGAAACAGTAGGAATCCAGCATGACAACAACGCCCACAGTCATTACTTGACACTGTGCTCAGCACTATTTCACTATGAATTTTGCTTCCAGTTAGCAGAACTACTCCTTCTTAGAACACACCCAGTGCCAAAGCAGTCAGGGGCAGAGCCAAGAGCATAATTCAGGCTTCTTGATTTCAAGTCAAGTAGCCTATCCACTGAAATGTCATGCAAGGAAGCAAACACAGATTTCCTCCACTTCTGTCAAACAGAAGTCTTTGCACCAAAACAGCCCCTGTGATATGAAAACAGTGCTCAGCCTTCTCCTATTGTGGCAGTTTGGGCCAGCCAAAAGATAAGGGAAAATTCCAGGGTGGCAGAACCTGCATTCATTTCTACCTCTTGTTGCACTATGGCACTTCAAATGCCTTCCAGACTGCAAACTGAGCTAGAATCCACTCCTATCCAGAACTGAGATGAAGGACAACAGCACTGTTCACCAGACTATTGAGCATATTAACTGACAAACGTATCTAGGTCTCATTTGCATTGTAGCCCTGATACTAACATTCCCAGCTTAACGCTCCAGATCTCCCAGTGCACAAAAATTGTTTTACAAATAAGCCAGAGGGGATGGAAAAAGGTTGCGCACACAGAGAAGATCTATGCTGATCTGAAGCTTTGACAAGTTGTGTGCTTTTTAATGCAAAATATATCACTTAATCCAGCTTGCAGCATTTCAATGACAAACGATGCGTAAATGCAATGAAGGATATCACACGATCCGCCCATAACAGCAGTCCCTGCCTCAGCATTCTTCACATGCTTCACAGTGATGTAACAGCATCCCCAGTAGAGAGAATTTTTGCAGAAATTTACCGAAGTACAGGAAAAAAACCTCAACAAAACAGAGGCACAGGATTTGTGTTTCGCAAATATTTCATTTTTCTGCCATTCCAAAATAGAAAGGGACTAACCTGGACACTGCAAAGAAACCAGTAAAGAATGCGGCATAAGGGCATCCTTTTGCTGGATTATGGCATAAAGAACATAATCTCTGGACAGTTTTATTTGTTTCAACTCTGTATTAAAGAAACACCTAAATAAAACTGGGGAGGTTGTACCTATAAATATCTGAGCAACGCATATACTAGAGTCTTTGGGAAAGAAAACCAAAGTAACTGTTTTTCAGGGACTTTTTTTTCTGTTCAAGCCAGTATGATACTCTGGAAAACTGTGTGTTTCCTGTATATTTAAAGCCAAACATTTAACAATGACACTGAAGATTTTCAGAAGGCAGGACAAGCGCTTTCAAAAGAAGAAAAGGGAGAATAAGAATTTTCTTCAAACATTTTGAGCTCAAATCACAATTCATCTTAGGGTGAATAGCTAATAAAAGTCCAAGGCAGTTTGTATTTTTAATTTGCTTGTTTGCTTGCTTTCTAGGTGCTTTCTTCTTCTCAGGCTCATTAAGGTTTCCTTGCCTCCAGAAATGAGGATCTTTGGAAGGTTCTCACAAGACCAACACTCCTTGTCATCTTTGACTATGCAGGTTTTTCTTCCCAAACACATATCTACCTCATAGGCTGGGTATGGCTCCATATGATATGAACTAAACAACTTCTTTCTGACCATGGCCATTTCCATACTCCTTCTGCTCATTTAGATGCAGCCCCTTGACTCACTCTGTGAATTCTGCTATGTGGCCACTAAAAGTAAACCAAAAGAGCTTCTCAAAGCA